ACATAAACCTTCAAACCATCGATTTCCATCGATTGAAGATAAACCTTTAAACCATCAATTCAATAGTTGGGCAATCGTTTCAACATAAACCTTCAAACCATCGATTTCTTAGACTCCATCGATTCAAGACAAACTTTTAAACCATTGATTCAGTAGTTGGACAATCAATTCAACACAACCCTTCAATCCATCAATTTCTTAGACAGAATGAAAACCCTAGATAGACTAACCATTTTCTCTTATGGAATCGTGGAATCGAGTGTCTTTGGTGGTGGAAGTAGAAGCGTTGGCAGCAGATACGGTTCCCCTTTAAAACGACGCAAAATCAAGAAATCGATTCCCAGCATGAATGTAGGCAGAGCACACGAGGAAGAGGGTCAAACTGGAGAAAACGCAAAATCGAAGAAACGATTATTAGTAGTAATCCAACAAGAAACCTGGGAACGTGTGAAGGATCGAAACCTTTGACGAAGAAACGCCACATACCAAATGAGACGAAGCCCATTGAAGAAAAACCCAGAGAAAACCCCTCAAAAACCAAACCGAGAAGAAGACAAGCTGGTTAGCCGATAAAACAGTGGACTCGATTTGGCTCAAAACTGCTTTTTGGAGGATGTATGAGTAGTGTAACGCTCATTTCAGGTATCATTTATTTCTCAAGATTTAGGGTTTTAGACTGGAACTCAACGAGTTGGGGAGCTCTTACTCGTCGAGTAGAGATCATTTTGGACACGGGACTTAGGGTCTACTCGACGAGTAGACGTTGTAAAGGAAAACCCTAATTTTCAGGGGTTTATACCCTATTTAAAGAACTTATGGCTCATTTGTGGCCTCCCTCATCGTCCTAACTGTCCAGAGAGAAACCCTAGCCGTGCTTTAGTGCATTTTGAGTGTGTGAGCTTTGGAGAGTGAATCTTGTGCTTTTTGGAAGGAAACTTGAAGATTGAAGAGATTGAAGTGAGGAGAAGGCTATAGATCCGACATCTACCTTGTCTTAGCAACCATTTGGAGGTAAAAAGTCTTTACCTTGACCTCTTGTTTCTTAGATCTTCTCCCATGGAAGTTTAGTGCATTTTAGCCCATTTTGGAACCATTTTCGGAGTTGAGCATGATTTGAAGTTGTGACTTCAGATCTGGACACCTTAGGCCTCCTTGGGCCTAAAGATTCAAGCTTTATCAAGCTATGGCCATCCTCCATGCCCTAAACCTTGTATGAGACTTAAATGTTTTAGCCTCTTGAGGCCTTTCATGCACGTAAAGTTTGCAACTTTACGTGGTATTTCAATCCTAAAGGACTGGATCTGTAGTTTGGGGCTTTGGATTCGACTGGAAGGACTGAATATGTTAAGACAAGGGAAAACTTGACGAGTTGCCCTGGCAACTCGACGAGTTGGATCGGGTTTTCCCGTTTTCGGTATGCACAGTGAAGTCGGCGAGTTGGTTAAGGTTTTCCCCGGTTTTCTGAACACTGAAGGAACTCGACGAGTTGCTAGATGCACTTGAAGTGTTGGGTCAACATGGACTGTTGACCTTGACTTTGACCGTGGTTGACCAAGTTTGACTTTGAGGGTATTTTTGTTATTTCGGGATTTTAACAAAGTTATTCACATGGTGGTTGTAGGCAGTTGAGTTGGAGTTGCGGGTTGGGACTTATCATATCTTATCAGTTCAGCATTCTTGAGAGGTGAGTCTCCTCACCATGCCAATGGGTTTAAGTCACCAAGGCCGACCCATTATTTGTTATGTGATATGCTAGTGGTTATGGGATATGTGGTATGCTAGTTATTGTTGATACTTGCATGAAAGATCTCAGGGGGTTCCCAAGGCATTTATGTGTAAGACCTTGGAGGGTTTCCAAGTCATCCTTAGTAAAGACCTTGGGGGGGGGGGTCCTGAGGCACTTGGGTGTAAGATATTGGAGGGTTTCCAGGGCATCCTTTGGCTAAGACCTCGGGGGGTTCCCGAGGCACCCGAAGTAAGACCCTGGAGGGTTTCCAGGGCATCCTTGGGCTAAGACCTCGGGGGGTTCCCGAGGCACCCGGAGTAAGACCCTGGAGGGTTTCCAGGGCATCCCTATATGTTGTATGCATGACTTATGTGGTTTATGTAGCTTTTATAGCTAATTGGGATTATATGATTATATGGATTGTGTGGGGTATGCTCTGGGGAACTCACTAAGCAATAGCTTATAGTTTGTTGATTTGCTTAAGGTACTTCTGAGCCTAAGGGCAAGGGCAAGGCTTGATGGCGCGAAGTGCACTCTCCGACATTTTATATGGGGACACTCTGATATTTGAAATAAAAAGTTGATGTTATGAATTTTGAAAACAATTGTCATTTGGATTTTCATATTTTATGGGAATGTTTTGATTAATTAAAAATGAAAAATTTATTTGGAAATTTGGGTCGTTACAAGTAGGGTGGAGAACCAGATTCTTGATGGATCGTGTAAGTTCATTTTTCGAACTGATATTTCCACCCTATGTCTAGGTTACAGGAAATCTAGTCTAAGATAATCCAAAATGACACTTGTGTATCTAGGCACAAAAACACAAGCCAAATCTCCAGAGAATTTTGAGTATTCGTTTAGAAGAAGAGCTGAGAAAAGGGTTTTGTCTATGACTCAAAAGATGAGTCGTATATATACGTGACAGATTAGGGTTAATTTTCTAAATTAGATAGGAGAATCTCAAATTTAATGGCATAATCAATGGTTTCCAAAACTAACGAGATTTGTCAATTTTACTATAATCACCCACTAGAATTCGGATTTTCCATAAAGAATCTCAAATTTATTGGTATAATCAATGGGACCACCGCCAGGGGATCTGCCCCTTGGACCCCGCTAGGGGCGCTGCCCATAGGACCTGCAAGGGGGCGCGACCCCCTTGACCCCCGTCTTTCTGTCGTACCGACTTATAATTCAATTTGATATATGCATGTACTCCGCATTCACCAAACATATAATATAAAGTACAAACGATAAGTCTCTAGGTCACGTGTCAGTTTCAATTACACAAAATATCAGGTGACACAAAAATCATCAACACTATTCACTGTTTATAAGCTGTATCAACCTTTAATATGTATAGTAATTGTTAAATAGTTATCATGTATTGAATAATATACTTCACAAATGGCTATCAAATTGTTGAACTTTATTGAACACTATTAACCTCACTAATATCTTATAACACCGTTAATGAGTAGATAAATAGCTATCAAAAAGAATTTTTAGAGCGAAAAATATAACTGCTTAAACTTAGATTGTTTTCCCATAGAATCTTTAGAGTGAAAGATATAACTACGTCAATTTAGAATGTTTTCCATACATGTTCCATGTTGCGATTGTTTTTTGTCTGATTCATGATTCAGCCAACAAAATAGTTTGTTCCTTATCATTATATGTCGACTTATTTTGTTTTATTATGGAAATTGCTAAATGGATAAGAAGTTGTGAAGATATTGGAGATCTATCGATGGATTTCATTTTAAGACGCATGTTCATTGTTTTTACTTTTTATTTAGGATAATTATAGTCATAAAGGTGGCCAAAAGTGCAAGTTCATGGAATAGAGTCGTTAAAGTATGCAAACCATCACAAAAGCTTAAACAAGAGTTGGTTTTGGGTCATTTTTAGAAAAAAGAAGATACAAATTAAGGATCCTTTTCAATATTTTTATAAGTACGGCGATTATTTTACAACAAAATTTTAAATACCGTGGGATTTTTGTCTTTTCCGTCAAGACATATTTCTTAAACCACCTTTTCAAAAGTTGATCATAAAGCAAAAACATTAGTTTATCTTATTTTTATTTCTATTGTTGTTACATTATTATCAAAATGGTTGACTTAGTGAGTAAGATTTAGATTTTTATTTTTTATTATTTTTATTTTTTTGCAAAGCCCTTAACGAGAATATCCGGACCAGCTTACGTGTATCATCGCTAATCCTCCGTGTGAACATGAAGCAATGCAACATGTGTCGGAGTCGCCACAAACAAATCTCTGTGGCTACAAAAACAAAGAGCAACAACTAGATTAGAACTCATATATATATATATATATATATATATATATATATATATATATATATATATATATATCAATTTCTTAATACTCATAAAAGACTTTAAATTCATTTAATAGCATGTGAATAACCAATATTGTTCATATTTTGTTAATTAATTAGACAAACAATTGTCAAAAAACAGAATAAGAAGGTTTTAGATTAAAAATTTTATACACATAGAAATTAGAATGATGGCAACAACCAATGTCAATACCATCAAATTCACAAGTTTATCCTATTACGAGAAAAGAAAATGTGTAGCATATTATATGTATTTGTTCTACTAGAAATCAATATAATTCAGTCATAATATTAACGATCACGTATTCATTTATTGCTGTAAAACTTTAAACTTTCTAACAAATATAAAAGAATAAAACATCAATAAGATTATATTCACTTAAATAATTTGATATTTATGCTATACTATTGGATCAATAGTGTGCCCAATCATCACCCACCAATCCACCCACCACCCAAAAAGGGTAGATGCATAGTGATTTGTATATCGCCGACCATTTCAGATTTTTATATGAGAAAATGTATTATCGTAACATATATTTATATAAAGACATCGTACTATAATTCCCTCTTAATTTTTATACTAAATCATATTATATACTCTTTCAAATGCGAAAGAATGACAACGAAATGCGTATAGGAAATGTGTTGGATATTATTCAAAATAAAGAAAAATATTGGGAACAATTTTTTTATCAATACAAACAAATAACAACTGTATATATCGACAGGATCTCTATGGATCGAATCGGCTGTTGTACTTGTATCACATGCATCATTGGTTGTACTTTCATGATCGTAATTATAACTAGCATTAGATTCGGCATATTCCCAATTTGCCCTTCCACTCCCGCTTACGCTTTCTTCATAATCGACGGAATCAGAATATTCCAACGTAGTCGCGTGCCTAACCATCTCCCCAACCTTCTGATTCCCAATTTGCCCCTGAGTTTGAAGCTAATTTACAAATCCTCTGTTTTGCGTTTGAGTTCTTTATGTCGAATTGATAAATCTCAAGCGTTGATTGGTTCGAAGAACTTGAAACAGACCAATCAAAGACGCATCTTGGTGAGAATTTGCAGGTGTCGATCGTGATCTGCGGTGGTGATGGAGGAGAGCAGGATACGAGAAATGGGTGTTGGAGTAACTGATCGCAGCTCCATCTCTCACTTCTCTCTCTTCTAAGACACTTGTTTAAAAAATCACGTAGATCTTCCGGTATCGGAACTGTAATCTCCGGAAGCTCTTCGGAGTAGCCGATTTGACGGAGGGTGTCTGCTCCCCTGTCTTGCCAAGCTGGCTTTCCGGTGAGGATCTCAATCACAGTGCATCCCAATGACCACACGTCGGACTCCGGTCCTTGATACTCACCTCTGATTACCTCCGGCGCCATCCACAATGGACTCCCACGTATTCCGGTGACAGGACTTCCCAATTCAATCGCCGACCCGAAGTCTGCAAGCTTAGCGATACCCGGGAATGTTTCCGATCAACACATTCTTCCCCTTGACATCACAATGAACGATGCCTCTTCCGTGAATGTAGCTCAACGCCGACGTGATGCACCGCGTATAACTCCGAAGATTCACACCACCATGCTTCACCACGTCAGTAACAGTACCGCCGGGCATGTATTCCATGTGTAAGTTCCGGTACACCGAAGAAGACTCACACGTCACATCATCTCCGAGATACGTAACGACGTATGGTGACGACAACGATTTCAAAATCCGAATCTCGTTCTCTAAACACCCAATAAACTCAATGGAGCTGTTCTCCACGGATTTGACAGCGAACACAACACCATCAGATTCATCAACACCGATACTCACCACCCCAAACGATCCCTTTCCGATGCATTTCCCTCGTACCCAGTTGGATTTACGTCCGTAGTTGTTCATTTTTGTGGAATTTTGCGATGTGAGTTTAGTTATGGAGTTATAATATGAAGTTGTGGGCTTGTGGGGGTGTGTTTATATATGAGTGGAGGTGGTGAAATTAAATAGTAATGGGAAGTGGAAAGTGAATAATGGCGATGAGGATGACGTAGTGAAGAAGAAGGTGAAAGCGGCGAATAATACCGGGTTTTATCCATATCCAATCCATGTGGAAGATGTTTGTGAAGTTACTTGGCAAAGTTGGGTTCATTCATGTCTTTGAGATGTACAATCCATGTGGACACCTACTTCTTTTCTTAAATTATTTAGGATACTTCACGTAATTTTACCCACTTCTTTTCTTTCATCTATCATCAAACTTATCGGTTATAATTTAAAATACATGGAAATTGATAATTTAAATATATTGGTGTATAAAATAAGTCGTAAGCAATGGATAAGATATTAAGAAAATAGTATTTATGTTTCCCAAAAGGTTTTTGAAAGATTTTAAAAGTTTTCAACAAAAAACTTGAATTGTTAGAAAGATGTCATTTTAAATATATTTTTGTGAGTTTTCAATGAAATTTTTATGTCATCTGTTTTTCAAAAGGTTATAAGTACTTTTAATTAATTTATGCTTGACAGCTTTATCAGTAGTTAAAAACTAACTGATAGTTGAAAAAAATTTACAAATGGTTGATAAAAAATAGTGATAGTTAAAAACTAGTTGATAAAGTAGATGAACGTATAAAATAGCATATAGAAAAATATGTTTATTATAATTATAAGTTGAATTTTGGGTTATTGAACATGATAAGGTAAGAAAGACTGAAATTGACAATGATTAAACTTAAAAATGCACATCTATATACACAAGCACAACCAAAATAAAATATCATTGAAGGGTATCAAATTTACTACGGCAATGAACAAAGGGCATTAATTTTTTGATATTTTTATTAACGCTTTTAAATTTTAATAAGACAAAATAACCTAATTATATTTATGTTTAATCAAATAATGTAATGAAAAAATGACATTATTGGAGGTCTAAAACAATTGTTGTACAAAGGCATGGTGCATTCTACAATATAATCGACCACAAGATGGAAGTAGTTGACTTTTGTATAAATGATATCTTTGACCTATTTGTGTTATTTTTTCAAAATTCAATATGTGTGGTCAAAGAGTACTTGAAAAAGGGTCAATAAAAAACAAAGGAGAAAAATTCGGTAGTCCACACCCAAACCCAATGAAGATTTGGTTTATCCTGGACCTGGACCCCACGTTGTGAGTTGTGAGTTGTGACATAGCGATAAAGAGCTGGCCCATGGCAGTGGAACGGTGGGTAATATAACTAGCCTAACACTTGCGGTGCGTTCCATATATATATATATATATATATATATATATATATATATATTAAAGTTATGAAAGATTTTAACAGTAAAGTGACATCTTTTTTGTCAATTTTGGTCCTCCAACTTACAACATTGACCCTTCACCTTTATGCTTTTGTTCACAAACAACTCTTTCACTTTGGTTTGAATTTTTCATAACCCTCACCTTTTATTATATATTATTAGTATTTAGTCTTTTGGCAGAAATGGTCCCTCATCATTATTATTATTATTATTAGACAAAATTACACGATTGGTCCCTGTGGTTTACCAGATTTAACATTCTCTTTTTGGTTTTAAATTAATGTTTTATTTATTAGAAAATACTCACCCAATATCATAAACCCACTCACCATCTGCCATCACCACCACCACCACCGCCAAAATTACATAAATGGTCCATATGGTTTACCCATAGTGACAAATTCAGTCCCTACTACCTGAAAAGACCAAATTACCCTCACATTAACGGACAAAAAGCAACGGTATATATTTTCCGGATTGGTTTTCTGACTGCTGCCATACATGGCAATAAAGTTCAATTTGTGAGACCATTTCTTTATTTTCCTCATTTATTGCAAGAAATAATGATTTAGATTTTCTTTACTTATGTAATTAGATAACATTGTTTATCTTCATTTACTAGATTATCTCAATGCAATTCAACATGCTACTTTACTTTACAAAGCAGTATCTTCCGACCCCGGCAACGCCGGGGAATCTTTTCTACTTAAATATTAATTTTAAATATTTTTATAGTTGAAGATAATGTTTTTCTTATTAATTTATTACATAAACGTTTTTATGATTTTTTTTTATCGGCGAATGCATTAAACAAAAGGAAACAAGCAAGAGGCTAGCAAAAGTTACAAATTACAGACATGTAAAAAAGAAAGACACCACTTAAACCAACATAAAGAAGTAAAATTTAGAACGAAATTTAATCCAATTAAAAGTCGCAAGTTGAATGTCATACGTCGTCTTCAACGGAGAACATTTTCTCTTGTTGAATTCTAAAACGTTTCGAGCTTTCCAAATACACTAAATAGCCGAGTAAACCAAGGCAAGGCGAAGTTTACCTCTCTCATTTCCAACATCCGAACCAACCAGAGACTTAGAAAGATCCTCTCTATTTTTCGGGGGCACCAAAAGAAAACCTGTCCAGCCACCAAATCAACTTCAAATACAACTAGAAAAATGGCATTTCAAAAAGACGTGATCAACCTCTTCTTCCTCCGGGTTACAAAAAAGGCATATAGAAGAGGATAAAACTATTCCTCTAGAAAAAAGATTACTCGTCACAGGAACCTGATTTAAGAACATTGTCCAAACAAAACAATTAGACTTTAAAGGGATCCAAATAATCCATTTGAAAGCATCTATACTCGAACCCACCAACACCTTATCAGTCAAAAGTCGCCTAAAAGAATTCACTGAAAAAATTTCCGAAGCCTCCACTTTCCACCACCACGAATCAGCAACAGAAGACAGCCTCACAGTAGCCAAACTAGCCGAAAGAGACTCAATGGCAGCAGCGTCACGACCATTTCTAGCCTGTCTACGCCAACTCTAATTGCAAACAACACCTTCCCTATCCGTCAACCTATCAACAACCATGAAATTTTTGTTTGTTTCAATGTTATATAGATTCGGAAACATGGTTTTAAGCGTGTAACTCTCCATTCCATTTATCCTTCTAAAAGTAAATACTTTTACCATCTCCCTTCTTTCTTTCAAAAAGGTCATCCATAAAAATCCCCCATTCTTCAAGCTCCGTTATAGAAAATAGAAAGCCAAGTGCCCGTTATACCACATCTAGCAAACGGCTTTCCATCCACACCATAAAATTTATGTATACTTTTAATTCATGATGACCAAAACCATTTTTTTCAACTTTCAGTCGCCACCACCATTTGATAAGAAGTGCAATATTTAAAGATCTAAGGCAACCTATACCAAGACCTCCTTTATCTTAGGTCTAGTCACCACATGCCGAGCAACCCAATGAATTTTCTTTTTCTCTTCAATACCACCCCAAAGAAATTTTCTTCTACCACTCTCCAAAGACTCAATGACTTTTTTGGGGAGCTCTAAAGAGAGAAAAGTACTATAGTGGGAGACTACCCAAAACGGATTTCACCAACGTGGGTCTCCCACCAAACGAAAGGTTTTTGGTCTTCCATGTAGAAAGCTTAGCTTTAAATTTGTCAATAATTGGATTCCAATTCCGAGCAAGATTCATGTTGGCTCCAACGGGGAGCTCAAGATACATGAAAGGAAATGAAGCGGACTCACAATTTAAAATGTTAGCAAACCGGTTCACACCAACATGATTAACACCAACTCCAAAAACCTTGCTCTTATAAAGATTAACTTTAAGGCCGAAAGAAATGTAAAAGCATCTAAGGAGCCTATTAAGGTTTATAATATTTATTTGGGTCTATTCTCCCAAAAAAGTAACATCGTCCGCATACATAATATGAGATAAGATAGAACCGTCAGAGGGAAGAGAGATACTATGTAAAAGATGTCGATCACAAGCTTCTTTCATGGAAACACATAAAATTGTATATTAACTTAGATTCCTGACTTACTGATTCATTTACAGGGGTGGACTGCGGATGCAAGATTTCATCTAGGGGTGGCACGAGAAATTTAAATAGTAGCACGATTGTAGAAAAAAAATCAAATTTTTTTGCACTGCATACAGGCAACGCAGGTGTTGCCAATGCCACTATAGGACACTATACAAAACCACCTATGTTCATTTATATATTTTTATTATATAATTTTATTTATATTTTACTTTTGAAGTTATATACAATAATTATCTTTTATTTTTTATTTATTTAAGAAAAACTTAACACGGTTGTCATTTTTTAAAACATTTATATCTACAAAAGAAATCATCAAATTACATTGTTAAGTAGTACTTTTTTTCAAATACGTGCTTAAAAATAACTAACTAGATAAGAAACTATATATATATATATAATATATATATGTATATATATATATAATATATATATATAGATATAATATATATATAAAAGACATTTCATAAATATGAAGATAAATTAGTTAATTTTAAGAAAAAAAGAAAAAAACATCATAAATGGTCCCTGTGGTTTTCTAAAATCTGAAGTTTAGTACCCGTGGTTTAGAAACGTCATAGTTTGTCTGTGTGCATTCAAAACTTTTGACGATTGGTCCTTATTACTAACTCTATTATGTTTTGTCTGTTAACTGAAGGGCATTTTTCACAGTCATTTCACTACCACGGGACCATTTATGAGGTGGATGTTATCTCTTTTAAAAAAGGAAAATTTAAATATAATTATTTAACCACCCAGTAGCAACAACCCTGTTCAACATCACTTTTCAACCACCATTCCTCACCTCCCGTTTTTCTCGCACCCCGTGGCAGCAATCAGAACCCTCAAGTCAGCAAACCCAAATACCCACTGTTAACCCTCACCCACGACCCAAGGCCCTTGAAATCGATCACCCTCAAGTCTCATTGCCCCGTAAACACCACTCTACCTCCCTCTTTTTATCGAATTTACTCATTCTTCTCCTAAATTGACTGTTGATGCTGCTGCAGTTTTGCCGAGGATTTTG